CTTGATTTTACATGATGATTCACTAGATCTTTCTAATTCCGCACATGCCATCATAATCAACACCACAACATTATCCGTATTTGTGGTTGCCAAAGTACAACCTTGGTAGATAACTTTATCCGTATATCCGTATGTTTGTTTATCCGTTATCCGTATAATTTTGTCACAATAAACTTGACTAGATATTCGTTACCTAGAAACCATAGTTTATATGTCTATCCATACCATTCCGTTACTATAAACTTGACTAGATGTTTATTACCTAGAAACCATAGTTTATATGTCTATCCGTACAAATTCGTTACTATAAACTGGACTAGACTTTTATTACCTAGCAACCATGTTTTATATTTCTATCTTTATCAAATATTCTTCCAAACATAGTTTTCTTACAAAGGTAATACTTTTTAGACTTTTTAAAAGTATTATACTGCGGTTAAGCAGAAAACCTGTGACACTCACCAACCTTTGTGTTGACCCTCAAACTTACATATATTCTTAGGAGATCATTAGACATGCTTTCAGACGGAAGATTTGTCGTGGATTACAGACGACTTAGCTATCTAGTTTTTGTTATCTGCCTACTTGTCTAAGGCAACTACTATCTATTATCACTTGTAAGAACCCTGTATTCAAACCTTATGATGAAATATATATGTTGTTTTATTTATTGTTGTACTTGTGCTATATATTCAATTTATCTATGATCCATGAACTTAGTCGCACTCCCGACGTGTTCCGCCTTGGCTGGGGGTGTGACATGTTTCGAGTTGAAGGCTGATGTTAGGAAGGACCCCAAGGGGTTAGAGTCCTTAAATAGGGCTCAAAACCACGAAACTAGGGTTTTAGCACTGCGGTGGTACACCCAACGTACCAATAGTTATGCCTATCGTATCCCCTTAAAAACCCGGCTGCCCTCAGCCAGTACGCCCAGTGTATTCCTAGAGTACGCCCAACGTACTACCAGATTCCCTTTTCCAGCTTAACTTCAAACATCCATAACTTCTTCGTTTCAACTCCGTTTTTGATGATCTTTATATCCACAGAAAGGTATCGACGAGCTTTACCATTCTATCTTGATACTTATGACTAAAAACATAACCTTTACGATTCTATCTTGATACTTTACGATTCTATCCCGAACTAAAATCCTTAATTTATGCAAGAAGCTCGAACATAACCTTTCCCATTTTACCCCTCAGCTTCCATCGAACAATCCAAGGTTTAAATCACTTATCATCATCATACACCTCCAATAGAGTCTAAACTCCATTCCAATGAAGTCCAAGGCCTTTACATGATTGCATTATGATCCTCAAATTTTGAACTAAAAAACGTCCTCAAACAAGATGTTACAGTTTCTAACTCTTAGACATCTTGACTGTTGACGGTGATCTATTTTATAACAAGTGGTATCAAAGCTCATCATTTTTATAACATTTTTATTGAGTGAAAGTATGGTGAGAGAAAAAATATGGAAAAATGACAGTGAGGTAGTTTACATTAAAAAAAATGTAGGATCCCTATTCTCTCAAGGTAATGTAATCGGTGAGAGGCCATATTGATGTTAAGGGTGTACATGAAAATTGGTAAATAAATTAATGTAATCGGTGAGAGGCCATATTGATGTTAAGGGTGTACATGAGTTGTATTTGGCAAAAATGGTAAATAAATTGAGTTTGTGTAACTTAAAGTGTAAATAAATGGCCAATTTAGAATTGTGTCATTCCGTTTATGATTGGGATATTACTTTGTTTTTGTATATTTTGAGCCCACATGATGGTATGCGAATTCCGTCTTTTATATTATATTAATTGAAAATCCAAAGTTATTTAATTTTCTAACTATGTTTTAGGCCATATACCCAAAATGATTTGGATTGTTTTGTAGGCATCCAAATATGAATGTGTTGAGGATTTAATAAACCAAGTCCGTGCTTTTCATTCAGTGACATGAATGCATTATTAGTTCATTCTTTATTTGTTGATTTGTCCCATTTCAAAATTGATAATGTATATTTTAAATCAATTATTATTTTATATAATTTTAAATTACCTATCAACACTAGTCGACGAATCCTCTATCTTTCTCTTTTTCTCGTGCAACCACCGCCCCTCACTCCATCGACCTTCTCGGAAGCACATAACTGCCCCTTCTGCCCCTCACCCCTCCTCTCCTCTCACCTCCTTTCCTTTGCCACCACTTGCAAAAGCTATTCCGCCAAAACTAGCTCCTCACCTCATCCGCCAGAAATAACCTCATCACTACCACTCACATTCCACTCTTTTTATGTCCGAGTATCAAAAAATTCGATAAAGTAAGAGCTTACTCTTTCTCTCCTCTCTTCTCTCTAGTACTTCGCACATTAGCCACCATGACCCTTGATCACCATCCTTAAACTTATATTGCTGGTGAAAGTGTAACCATATATGGGTTTGAACATTTCTAAACAAATATGGATTTGGTATAGTGAAACCATAAGCATAAGTAGATTATGACTAAGTTCATAAGACTGAAACATATTTGTTATTTTATATACATCTTACGGTGATGGTTATAATTTTTCAACGAAAACAACCAACCATAGACTAAGCAAATCATGGCTAAGATCATAAGTCATGAACATATTTGTTTTTATATACATTTAACGATGGTTACTATTGTTTCAACGAAATGGACCATCCAATTTAAATCATAAAGATCATTTCATATAAATTTTTTAAAACTATAGTAAATCTATAAGCAAATGTCAAACAACATGACAAAACTATAATTTACCTTTTAGAAAATGAAAAATGCAAATTTTAATATAGAGCCGGAACAAATGATGTGTCAACCCAACCAAATATTAGTGGATTGGTTGAGATTTTCAACCAATCTTATTTAAATAAGTCAATCTTTTTAACCCATTTAATCAAATAAATTATGTTGAGTTAAAATTACCAACATGTTTTTAACGGGCAAGTATGTTTAAATTTTTGATACATTAAATATTATTATTTGATATTTTAATTATAATATTATATTATTATTTATGTTTTTAAAAAACACAATCATAATTCTCATCGGAGATGCCACTTCACTCCTCAATCTTTTATGCTGCTCAACATCGAATTGTCCGAGTTGACGAGTTCGAAATACATAAGAAGATTAACCAACCCATTTATGTAATAATCTAATAGGTTGAATTGAATTGAAAATTTCAAGTATTTAAATAAATAAATTGAACAACTGAGTTACTTCAAGCCATTCAAATTCAAATTGACTCATTTTTCAGTCTTATTTTACCGTTTTAATTTTTAGCATTATTGCATTTTCGAGTTTAGCTATTGGATAAGGATGCCAAGTATAACACGTGTCCAGTTACTATAGGCTTAATTTATTTTTATACATGTTCTTTTACAAAAAAACAGTATAGTATAATAGTATATAGTCACGATGATCACGTTACTACTGGCAATCGTACACTCTCACTTCTCCCATGTCAAAACTCAAAACACCACAAACCACCGCTTCCGTACACCTCCTTCTCCGATGACACCGTCACATCAACCACCACCACCGCCACCGCCTCCCTCCTCACCTGTGTCCACAGCTAGCAAACACATTACCACCTCGAATTCTGCCTCCACTTCCTCTCCCACCCCATCGGATGTGTGGAACTACGTCTGGATTCCTTTTCTGATTTCTCTCTGTAAAGAAGTTAGTTCTGCTAAACCTTCTTCCGAGTCAACTAACGTCTTGACTTCTGACTCCGTTTCAAGACTGTCGTCTACGTGTCCTACGACGGATTCCAAGCTGAATTTCCGTCCGATCATCGGAATTCTAAGCCATCCAGGCGACGGTGCCTCCGGTCGACTTAATAATGCCGCCAATGCTTCGTATATTGCTGCCTCTTATGTAAAGTTCGTTGAATCCGCTGGTGCTAGGGTTATTCCACTCATCTATAACGAAGCTCCTGAGATTTTACAAAGCGTAATTTCTTACTCCTTTCTGTAAATGAACCTTCGTTTTTCAAAATCAGTAGCAAGGACAGTGAAATTTTGGGAGTTTATCAAACAATCAATTATATACATAGTCTGCTTGAACAGATAATTAAATCACTACAATCTTCTTTGTTTCAAAGCTTAGAGCATTTGGAAATTGGAAATTTAGGTTAAGCTAACTCTGCAATTGGATTACAGAAACTAAATCTCGTCAATGGAGTGCTTTTCACTGGTGGATGGGCTAAGAGTGGCCTCTACGCTGAAGTTGTTGAGGGGATTTTTAAGGTAATTGCAGCTTTGAAAACTAGAAAATCTAGAGGAACAATTGGAGTGAAACACATACAGTTCATAACTTTTTTGATTGATATTCATGTCTTCTGTTACTTAATTTGCAGCAAGTCCTGAAGAAGAATGATGAAGGAGACCATTTTCCATTACTTGCAATTTGCTTAGGTTTTGAACTCTTAACTATGATTGTTAGCAAAGTAAGCCATGTTCAGATATATATGTGTGCGTTCTTTTCACTGTAACCTATCTTTTGGTGATATTTCCAATTTTCCATACACCTTTTTTCCTTTCCTTCCTTTCTCTATATTCTCTTATTTAATCTTTAGCAATAAAGTTAATCAAATTATCAATTTCCTCTCTTCAATCTTGTTTTTCTTTTCTGGGGTGTAAATGTAATTATTTCTTTCTACTTCCTTGTTACCAGAATAATAAAATCCTTGAACAATTTAGTGCATCAGATCAAGCATCCACGCTTCAATTCATGACAAACATTGAAGGAACAGTGTTTCAAAGGTATTACATAGTTTTTGTTCTTAACAAGAAAGCTTTATTACTTACAGTAATAAAGCACATGACTTTTTGCTAATAAATCAATTCAAAGTTGCTGTTTTTTTTGTTTTTTTTTCCTTACAGATTTCCTGCTGATTTGCTTGCAAAGTTGAGTACAGATTGCCTTGTGATGCAAAATCATAAAGTGAGTTCAAATCTTGAATATTTTATAATTTTTATTAAGCAACCATGTTTTAACAAGAATGTTAAAATATATTATATTCCATCTTAATCATAGTTCTTTTCTTAATGTAACAGTATGGTATTTCTCCAGAAACATTTCAAGAAAACACAAAATTGTGTAATTTCTTTAAGATCTTGACAACCAGCATTGACCAAGATAACAAGGTGCTTAAAATCCTTTATCTAACTATTTTGCATACTTTTATCTTTGATAAATATCAAGATTTATAATGTTGAAAATTATTTCGAATAGGTTTATGTATCAACAGTTCAATCACAAAGATATCCAATTACAGCTGTCCAGTGGCACCCAGAGGTATTTACCAATTTACCACCAGATTGGACAAACTTTGTAGAGCTATTTTTGATGATGAGGATGAGGACATTTATGTCTTTTGCACAAACAAGAGATGACAGCGAATATCTGTCCCACCTTTTTTGGATGGGACAAAAATTGTAACTTTTTGTCTTTTTGATTTTGGTAAATAGTACAAAAGACACTAAGTTTACACCAAAATTCTAATTTGACACTGCGTTTTTTTTGTCTCAAATTTGACACTGTGTTTTTCATTTTTTTTTTTACAGTTCGGACCGTTTGATCGGTCAACTAGGTTACCTGTAGATGTGGCATGATGACATGTCAATTTTGATGACATGGCATGCTGAAGTGACAAAATTGAATTTTTTTCCACAAAATACACTAAGTTTTCACTTTTTTTGATTTTGACACCGAGTTTAATTTTTCTTTTTCGATTTTGACACTATTTTTTTTTGTTCCAAATCGAACATCATTTTTTCTAATTTTTTTCAATGTCGACAATTTTCCATTTGAAACCGTATAATTATATTTTTTATTACATTTTAAACCATATAAATACATTTTTTTTTTCGTTTAATAACCACATTTCTAAGTTGCGTATTTAATATAAAATACAGTTTTTACATAACTAATACATATTTATACATAAAATTATGGTTTGAATGTAAATAAAACCTTGTATTTATACAAAAATATGGTTTTTAAATGAAAAAAAAGTATTTATACGGTTTTAAATAGTATTAAAAAAATATTTATACGGTTTCAAATGAAAAATGGTCAACATTGAACAAAATTGGAAAAAATGATATCCGATTTGGAACAAAAAAACAGAGTGTCAAAATTGAAAGAAAAAATTAAACTTAGTGTCAGAATCGAAAAAAGTGAAACCTTAGTGTCTTTTGTGGAAAAAGAAATCAATTTTGACACGTCAACTTGTCATGTCAGTATGCCACGTCATCAAAACTAACATGTCAGTATGCCACGTCATCAAAACTGGGTTGACTGGTCAAGTAGTCAGAATTGTAAAAAAATTGTAAAACACAGTGGCAAATTATAATTTTGGTATAAACTTAGTGTTTTTGTGGTATTTACCAGGTTTGACATTAGTCACAGTCCCAAGTCAAGTATTTGCCAAACACAGTACAACCTGATCTGTTTTGTCTTGTTTTCAAATACGTCTTATTTTGACACGATATGATGCAGAAAAATGCTTTTGAGTGGGGCTTATCGATGATTCCACATTCAGATGATGCTGTTCAAGTGACTCAACATGTTGCCAACTTCTTTGTGAGGTTCGCTCTAGATCTACTGTGTTTGACAATCATTGGACTGACGCCTGGTCTGAAATCAATGAGACAAAATAAATGCAATTTGTTTATTCACCCAAGAACGTGGGTGCAGAGAAAGACTTTCTCTGGATCTCTGGTCTGTGCAGAAGACATAAATGTCCTCATCAACCTTAGAATGTTTCATATATATATTTTTTGATTTTGTATTTGCAGTGAAGCTAGAAAATCGTTAAACAGACCGCCTGTGAGAAAAGTGCTGGATAATCTTATTTACAATTACAGTCCCACTTATTGTGGGAAGGCCGGGTAATTTCACATTTTAAGGGTTCCTATTTATGTGAAAAAAAAAAGGGAATTAAAAATTAAACAAATGAACCTTTACAATTACATAGCTAACTTTTTTTTAATTGGTTTTTCGGGTTTTGCAGGAAAGGATATGATGAGGTTTACATCTTCACGGAAAACCTTGCACGAATTTAGTTTGTAAATGTTGTATGGTGCAAAGATGGAAACCATTTGTAAATTTCTCAACTTTGTGACTATATTATCGAGTGAAATTTAATGCTTACAAATAGGACAGATTTGAATGAACACGAACAAAGGCTTGTTCATGTTCGTTTGGACCTGACAATGAAAAGAGTTTGGAGCGAATCGACCTTGATCTTAATCTTTTTAACAAATTTAAAACTCTAATCAAAACTTGCTCTTAACCTGCACAGTTTTTGAATAATCAAACTCATACCTTCATCCACCGAATTGACATATATCCTGTCCTGCCCGTATTCTTTAGGATTTTTGAATAATCAGACACATTTTACTTAATTATTAAAATAACATTTCTTAACTAAAAAAAATTACATCAAAGTTGCTTTTAGAATATCACTCCAATCGAAATATCTGAAAACAACATAAAAAGATGAACAATAGATAAATTTTGGTGAAAAATATGAGTTTACCATTATTTATATTAAAGTATATATAAAAACATAAATTATGGTACAAAAATACTAATAAAAATTAATATAAAAGATATATAAAATGACATCTAACAAATATTTCAAGCTTAAACCTTACTTGCCTTTAAATAATAAAAATATTAAACAATATAATCAAAATAGAAAGATGTAGACGAGCTAAAAATAAACCAAGGAAACTAAAATTTTGAACTGGAAACAAAAATATGAAAATGTAATGTAAAAACTTTGAACAATCCATTTTTTTCCTATATGATTAGACTTCACATCGAGAAAGCTCCAATGAAATCATAAACTTAACAATATCAATACCTTTAATATAACCATAGACCCTGAGGTTAGAAAGTGTTCAACGGTGCAGACTGATAAACCAACCATAAAATTAAATAAACTTTGTACCGTAATTGACATTGTTCACAAAATAACATATTTTAGAATTTTATTTATTTTTTAACTTCATCATAATTACCAAACTCGACCAATCCTTAGAGATCCCGACAAGGCAAATCAGATTTCACTGAACATAATTAGCCTACTCAAAGAGCCCGAAACCTATGCTTTTACTATTTTGAAAATATCATATATCACATCATACAAATTCTTCTCTTTCGCTAGATTTGACTTTTGATGGCACATTGCTTGATTGAAACTTCACTTTGACTTTTGCATTTAACTTTAATTTCTTCAATCATATTGAGTATTTCTTGAGATTTCTTAGATTAAGAGCTTGAAATTTGATTTGGGTACCAGATTTGATAGTTGGTATCAGTATGAGTCCGAATGTGACAATTTTGCTCACTTCTTCATTTTTTTGAATGATTACGTTATAAGATTTTCGATTTAGCTTGTCAATAAATCGAGCCAATGTTTTATGAAGTCACGACTTATCGAGTCGGGTATTTACTTAGAAGTTTCGAGAAATTAGTTCCACAAACTGGTTTTGTTTTTTTTCTTACGTGGGACCTTGTTCCCATAGGATCCCGATTCCGCACGGGATTAATTTTTATAAAAAATTCGGGGTAGGGGAGGGGGGGGGGGCG